TGGATATTAGGTTCAACACCAGTCAGAAAAGTTCATAAAAGCTCCCTTATTTTTTAGTCCCCTTTCAGAAAATAGTGGTATATTATGGTTTATTATAGGTACAGATTAAATGTGCTATTTTTAAATACACAGGGAATGTCTTTCCATTAGTTTAAAAAAGTTCTCATTCTCTGTTAAGTGTTAATAGTGTAGTGCTTATAGATTTAGTATACTTACAAAATATCCTCATACTTTTTTTCTTGAAACTCCATAGATTTTATTTTCCCATGTATTAGAAGTATTAGGTTATTAAGTATGAAATGTCCGATTTCCTTAATTTACTTAAGTACTAAGTTTCACAGTTGTTATCTCTGACATTGCACTTTGACACTTCATGTTTTATGTTTATTGTGAGGGTACATTCTCAGTCTTTCAACTGTATGTTTTGGTTTGTGATTATCTTTCAAATTTTGTTTTAGAACAAATTTGTGAAACCATGGATAAGTAAAAAAATTTGTGTTATTTTCAAATATGAGTTACGTTGTGGAGCCAATGCAGTGTAGACAGCTCGAAATATCACCGAAGTGTTTGGGAAGGATGTGGCTAATGAACCCACACCACATCGATGGTTTGAGAAGTTCCATTGTGGTAATTTTAATCTTGAAAATGAGCCACGTGGGTGACCTGAGACCAATGGGGATAATGATGAGCTGAAAGCTGTAGTAGAAGCCAATCCGTCTTAACCTACAGATGAATTAGCAGCAATGTTTGCCATTACTATTCCAGCAACGTTGGACTGTTTGAAACAAATCAGCAAGGTAAAGAAGCTGGATAGATTTGTTCCGTGTGAATTAAACGAGCATCAGAAGAGAGATCGTCTGGAAGCTTGCTGTTCTTTGCTGTTACAGCATAAAGGTGAACCATTTACATCGTATTGTTATGATGCAAAATGGATTCTCTTTGACAGTTGCAAGCGTTGGATAAAGATGAAGTGCCAAAACGCAGTCCAAATCCGAATATTCATCAAAAAAAGCTAATGGTGTCTGTATGATGGTCCAGCACTGGTATTATCCACTACAGCTTCATGAAACCTGATGAGTTGATTATAGCAGTTGTCTGCTTCAACCAGGTGGATGAAATGATGAGGATGCTTGCGATTAAGCAGCCAAGATTGGTCAATAGACACAGGCCAATCCTCTTGCAAGACAACACTCGACCACGTGTTGCACAAACAACGCTGCTCAAACTACAGAAGTTGGACTTGAAAACTCTGTGTCACCCACCATATTCACCAGACCTTGTACCAACTGAATACTTTTTCTTCCAGGCTTTGGACCACTTCTTGCAAGGAGGAATATTCCATTCTCAACAAGCTGTGGAAAATGCCTTTCGAGATTTCGTTGCCACTCACTCTCCAGGCTACTTCGCTGCTGGCCTAAGCAGCCGCCATTAAGACGGCAAAACTGTGTCAATAGTTTAGGCGCATACTTTGATTAATTGTACTGCTTCTAGTTTAAGATACAATAAACTATACTTTTGATTTGAAATCGGACATTTCATATTTAATGACCTAATACTTAGCATTGTCTGTGAACAAGTAAACTCTGAATATTTGAAGAAAATACTCCATTATGGAGCCTTAGTTATTTTAGTAAGCTAGATTATGGAATTTCATAAAGTTTCATGGGGCCTTTTCAAGTAATGACTTGTGCCAGTTAGATATTCAAGTTTAATTGGACCTATTTATCTGCATTCTGTATTAACAGTGATTGCAATAAGTACAGACCAAAGTGTCCAACTGATTGAGCCTATGCAAAGTTTTATGTTGAGTATTTTTGTGGGTGGGAGCAAGGAAAGGCTGATCAACTCTAAATGGACTGTATATAGTATATAAACATCGTTGTCATTTTTGCGCATGAGGGTTAGAGAAATAGGTTAATTTTTACCCAGTGTTCTTACCTTTTCCAAACAATGATAGGTTCAGAATGTGTTTTTAGTAAATATCATAGAAGGGACTTTTTCATATGGTTGTTTCTCTCAGAAAACCAGTAAGAGAGAAACTTTTTTTTGAGACAGAGTCTCACTCTGTCTCCCTGGGTAGAGTACAGTGATGGCATCATGTTAGCTCACTGCAACCTCAAAACTCCTGGGCTCTAGTGATCCTCCTGCCTCAGCCTCCCAAGTACCTGGGACTAGAGGCATTCACCACCATGCCTGGCTAATTTTTCTAATTTTTTTGTAGAGACGGGGTCTCACTCTTGCTCAGGCTGGTCTTGAACTCCTGAGCTCAGGCGATCTGCCTGTCTTGGCCTTGCAGCGTGCTAGGATTATAGGCATGAGCCACCGCCCTGGCCTAGAGGGGAACTTCTTATTTGTATTTTTCATATGCTATAATAGAGTATTTTGTGTGTCTCCTTTCTTGATAGTTTATGATTGATTGTTGGAAGAATAAGACTCATGATAAATCTTGTAGTTCAGTTCTCTATTTTACTTAGGAAATTGAGGCATAGAGTGGATAAGAGCTGATATTTAGATAAGGACACTAATTTTACCCTGGGCTGCGCTACTTGCTTGTTAATATCTAAATATCAGGTATTATTCTAAACAGTACTTAAATTTTAAATTTTAAATAGATTACGGACCACAACTTTCAAACACAGCTTATTGGATTTCTATACCTTACGTTTATTTTCTTAAAACTTTGTCTCTTCACTTTTTATAAATTTTAATTGACATTCTTTACAGTTAAGGTATCTTCAATGAAGTCTTCATTATTGCAGTACATAAACATTATCTTACTTCGTAGCTCATATGCTCTTTCCTTATATCCTATTGAGCTTGCTTTCAAATATCATTCTGTATTTTTCCAGCAAATAATTAAGGATTCAGCTGAAAGTTTACATTGCCATGAGGCAGTACTTTTAAAATAATTTGGTAACACATTGCCCCTGCCTGATATGCTGCCAGTGTTTTTTATTTTTATGACTGGGGAGACTGAAATTTTTTTGACTGATTAACCCTCTCCTGTGGGGAGAGTTTAGGAAGAATTATTCTATTTATCAAGTCATGTAAAGAGAATCCTGGACCAGAGTGACCAATTGTGCCAATTTGCCTGGAACATGAGACTTCCAGTGCTAAAACCAATAGTCTCAAGCAAACCAGGATGAGGTGGTCACCGTAATCCCAGTAGTTATTCCTATTTCTGAATGGGTCTTTAGAATAGTAGAAGAGACTGAAAAGCTGGCATTTCATCCATTAACAGTTAATCTCTTCCCAGTTGAAAGACTTGTTATTTAATATTAGGCAGT